CACTCAAAAACTATATCCCCACCTGCTTTTAACATTTCTATCTTTATCCCATCAATCCCAGCTGCTTTACCCCCTTTCATTCTACCCACTGCCTCACAAACTTCCTCCACACTCACAACTGGCTCTTCCTCACTCCTACAAGATGTTATTCCTCCTTGCCCTATACACAAAATCACAGCTTCCCTATCTTCATCAACATTTAACAATTCCTCAAAATATTCCCTCCATCTTCCCGATACTTCTAACTCTCCATTTAATAACTCTCCTCTCCTATTTTTAACTGTCAAATCCATTTGTTTCCAAGGTTTCCTCAATTTATTAATCTCACTCAAAAGCCTTTTCTTATTTTCAACAATATTTGTTGCTCTATTTTACATTGCTTCACCACTCTCTTAACCTCTCTCTTTCTCTCCATATACTCCTCCCTCCTTGCATCACTTCTTTGTAATAACTTCTCATATGCTAACTTATTCTCCCTGACTACTCTCTTTACATCATCATTCCACCAATCGCTCTTCTTCCCTCCTGCACTCACTCTCCTGTAACCACAAACTTCTGCTGAACACTCTAACACTACATTCTTAAGTCTACCTCATACATCTTCGATCCCATTGCCTATACTCTCACTAGCCCATCTCTCCTCCAATAGTTGTTTATATCTTACCCTAAGTGCCTCGTCTTTTAGTTTATAAACCTTCACCTCTCTCTTACTTGATGCTTCTATTTTCCTTGTATCCCATCTAACTTTTACTCTCACTGTAGCTACAACTAAAAAGTGATCTGATATATCTGTGGCCCATCTATAAACATGTACATCCTGAAGTCTGCTCGACAGTCTTTTATCTACCAATATGTAGTCCAACTACTACTGTCATTACACCCTACGTCATATCTTGTATACATATTTATCCTCTTTTTCTTAAAATATGTATTACCTATAACTAAACCCCTTTCTATACAAAGTTCAGTCAAAGGGCTCCCATTATCATTTACACCTGGCACCCCAAACTTACCTACCACACCCTCTCTAAAGGTTTCTCCTACTTTAGCATTTAGGTCCCCTACCACAATTACTCTCTCACTTGGTTCATAGGTTCCTATACATTCACTTAACATCTCCCAAAATCTCTCTCTCTCTCTCTCTCTCCTCTACACTCCTCTCTTCTCCAGGTGCATACACGCTTATTATGACCCACTTTCGCATCCAACCCTTATTTTAATCCACATAATACTGGAATTTACACATTTATATTCTCTCTTCTCCTTCCATAACTGATCCTTCAACATTATTGCTACCCCTTCCTTAGCTCTAACTCTCTCAGATACTCCTGACTTAGTCCCATTTATGTCTCCCCACCGAAACTCTCCTACCCCCTTCAGCTTTGTTTTCGCTTAGGGCCAGGACATCCAACTTCTTTTCATTCATAACATTAACAATCGTCTCTTTCTTGTCATCCGCACTACATTCACACACATTCAAGCATCCCAGTTTTATGAAGTTTTTCTTCTTCTCTTTTTTAGTAAATGCATACAGGTGAAGGGGTTACTAGCCCATTGCTCCCGGCATTTTAGTTACCTCATACGACATGCATGGCTTACGGAGGAAAGATTCTTTTCCACTTCCCCATGGACAATAGAGGAAATAAAGAAGAACAAGAGCTATTTAGAAAAAAGAAGAAAAACTTAGATGTTTGTGTATGTTTTTTTTTTTTTTCAACAAACCATCTGTATCCCACCAAGACAGGGTGGCCCAAAAAGAAAAACAAAAGTTTCTCTTTTTAAATTTAGCAATTTATACAGGAGAAGGGGTTACTAGGCGCTTGCTCCCGGCATTTTAGTCACCTCTTACAACACACATGGTTTATGGAGGAAGAATTCTGTTCCACTTCCCCATGGAGATAAAAGGAAATAAACAAGAACTAGAAAGAAAATAGAAGAAAAACCAGAGGGGTGTGTATATATAGGCTTGTACATGTATATGTAGTGTGACCTAAGTGTAAGTAGAAGTAGCAAGATATATCTGTTATCCAGCATGTTTATGAGACAGAAAAAGACACCAGCAATCCAACCATCATGTAAAACAGTTACGGGTTTCTGTTTCACAGTCCCCTGGCAGAACGATAATACCTCCCTGGGTGGCTGCTGTCTACCAACCTACTACCTATAAATAATAATAATGGACCAATTACCTAAAGGAGAAAGAGGAAAGGGGAAATGGGAGAAGGGGAAAAACGAATCAGGTTATGTCATGGGTGTTCTGAAGTTTGGAGCATTTTACAATGTAATGGGAAAGGAAGGCATCTACGGAGACAAAGCCAAGACAAAGATTCACACGAGGAAAGTTGTGTATAAGGGAGGATTCAACCAGGCAGCAACTGTGAAAGTTAGAAGTAGGGTAGATAGTGTTAGCAGATGACCACTCAACAGGATGACTGTGATCACTGACATGACAGAAAAGAGCATATGGTCCATTATTATTATTTATTTTCCCCCTCTATGTTCTTGTTCCTACCCTCTGTGGGCCCCTATCTCCCTTGCAGTGCTCCTCTTTCTTAATATTTGACTGAGTTCACTACTACTACTGCTACCTCTACCAGTACCTCTCTTCCTCCTTTCCTACTGCCTCTCTTGTCCCATCACTGTCTGCTCGCCTATATGTACTCCCTCCTTCTCTCCTTTTTCTTAGCGTGACTTCGTAAATGGTCCAAGTTGGACCGAAACGTCGTCATAAGCTCCTCTCTGTGCGCAGGTTATTTGTGTATTGTTCCAGTCACGGTATTGTGCCTTTTTTTGTTACTTTATGTTATTTTATTATATTTTTTTACTATTTTGCTCTTCTAAGGCTATGTATAATAAATGATTATATTACTCATAATATTCACAGTGTTTGACTTTACTTTGTTATCCTGGGTTTTATACCTAGTGTGCTTTGCGGCTGAATTACACTATTAATATCATAAAATTGTAGTAAATTTGAAATAAGTTGTCTTTGAGCCACCTACATACCATGTTTGCTGGTAGGGAAACTGGAGGTGGAATAACAGCTCCTGGTTCCTATGTTTACTTTTGCTAGAGAGGCATACTAGTACATCGGACGTACAGTGGACCCCCGCATAACGATATTAATCCGTTCCTGAGAGCTCATTGTTATGCGAAATTATCGTTATGCGAATGAATTTTCCCCATAAGAAATAATGGAAATCAAATTAATCCGTGCAAGACACCCCCCAAAGTATGAAAAAAAATTTTTTTTACCACATGAAATATTAATTTTAATACACACAAAGCACCTTTCAAACAGAGCTTTTGTGTACAGTTTTTTGAAGTTTGCAATAACCTACTGGTCCATGGGCTACAGGAGAGGAGTGGTATTAGGAGGCAAAAACTTCACCTTAATGAAGCTCATGTCCCCAGAAAGTCGCTGTACCACGTCTGTAGGATGACCAGAGGCATTGTCTAACACCAGGAGGCACTTAAGGTCTAATTTCTTTTCAGTTAGGTAATCTTTCACATTGGGGGCAAATGCTTGGTGTAACCAGTCATAGACCCATGCCTTACTGTTTGCCCTCCACAGCACACACAAATTAGCCTTGAGGATATTCTTTTGCCTGAACGCTCTGGGAGTTTCTGAGTGATACACTAATAAAGGCTTCACTTTGCAATCACCACTAGCATTGGAACACATCAACAGAGTAAGCCTGTCTTTCATAGGCTTATGTCCTGGGAGTGCCTTTTCCTCCTGAGTAATGTAGGTCCTGCTTGGCATTTTCTTCCAAAACAGGCCTGTTTCATCACAATTAAACACTTGTTCAGGTTTCAGTCATTCACTGTCTATGTACTCCTTGAATTCCTGCACATATTTTTCAGCTGCTTTATGGTCCGAACTGGCAGTCTCACCATGTCTTATCACACTATGTATGCCACTACGCTTCTTAAATCTCTCAAACCAACCTTTGCTGGCCTTAAATTCACTCACATCATCACTAGTTGCAGGCATTTTTTTAATTAAATCCTCATGCAACTTCCTAGCCTTTTCACTTATGATCACTTGAGAGAAGCTATCTCCTGCTATCTGTTTTTCATTTATCCATACCAATAAGAGTCTCTCAACATCTTCCATCACTTGCGATCTCTGTTTCGAAAACACAGTTGAACCTTTGGCAAGAACAGCTTCCTTGATTGCCGTTTTGTTGGACACAATAGTAGCGATGGTTGATTGGGCTTTACTACACAACCTGGCCAGCTCGGAGACACGCACTCCACTTTCATACTTAGCAATGATCTCTTTCTTCATCTCTATAGTAATTCTCACCCTTATTCCTGTAGGGTTGGCACTAGAAGCTTTCTTGGGGCCCATGGTCACTTATTTTGCAGATAAAATCACCAAAAACACTGTAATAATATGAAATGTTCCGATTGTATGCTTGGATGTTACCGCAGAGGCTGGCTGGTAAACAATGCCACTGGTGGAACATGTGAGGCTGGCTCAGGCCGCACATTAGATGCGTCTCAGACGAATAGCGTTGAGCGGGTTTTTTAGCGGTATGCGAGGCAAAATCTTAGCGATAAAATGTATCGGTATGCGGATTTAACGTTATGTGATGCCAACGGTATGCGGGGGTCCACTGTACAGCCAACACCTGACTGGTTAACCATGATACACTGTGTGCACCCTGCAGGCCTTTTTTTTTTTTTTCAAATGAATGAATAGACAAAAGAAGATCCAAAGAGTTGTCCAGAACACAGGCAGGTGTCAGATTTGTGGGTACAAACAATGGTGCATACTAATACGTCAGACAAAGCACTAGCACCTCCGTATTAGTAAATCGGACACAGTACCAGCACCTGCGTACTAGTACATTGGACACAGGGTTAAGTAAAAATCTGAGGCAGAAAAATTGGACATAGGTTAAGAAACTAATTAATGGATACAAACTCAATCCCTTCAAATATTTAAGGAAATACAGATATGTGACAACACAAGGATGTAATTTACTTACCTTAGCAGTCTCTCCCCCAGGAAAGTGATGATCAACTTCGTATGTGACAGGTTTACTACTAGTTGCCTTCTCAACTAGCTCTTCAACTTTCTCAATATCACATGTCAACTCTCCATTGATGTCCACTGTAGCTCCACAGTTCTCAGTGCTGGGAAGATCTCGGTCATGACCGATTTGATGAAACATCTCAATCTTGGGTGAGTAAGCTCGTAACGATAAGCTTAGTTTTAATACATAAATCTGAGAAGCAGACAGGAACTGCCCTGCAGCCGCCAGTGTCTCATCATATATTTCCTTTTCATTTCCTATATGGAAAAAAATATGTAATTAACTATACAAACCAAAACTTTAAATATCCTTATATACTGTACATGGATACACACACACATGACTTGCACATAGAAGAGAGGAGCATATGACAATGTTTCGGTCCGACTTGGACCATTTACAAAGTCACACATGATAGTAAATAATTTTTTTTTATTAACACATCGGCCGATTCCCAGCAAGGTAGGGTGGCCCGAAAAAGAAAAAACTTTCATCATTCACTCCATCACTGTCTTGCCAGAGGGTGCTTTACACTAAAGTTTTAAAACTGCAACAGTAACACCCCTCCTTCAGAGTAGACACTGTACTTCCCATCTCCAGCACTCAAGTCTGGCTTGCCAGTTTCCCTGACTCCCTTCATAAATGTTACTTTGCTCACACTCCAACAGCATGTCAAGTATTAACCCTTTCAGGGTCCAGAGGCCAAATTTCAAAGTGTGCACCATGGTCCAAGAATTTTCAAAAAAAAATTTGTTATTTTTTCTTATGAAATGGTAGAGAATTTTTTTCTGAAAGTAATAAAAATAAATACAAAATTTGATGGAAAGTTGAAATTATGCTTTCGCGAACTTTGATGTGTCAGTGATATTTATGCATCGGCGATTTTGCTGACTTTGACTCTCATTTTAGGCCAATTACATTATTCCAGTCGGCCAAATTCTTAGCTATTTCACTGGTATTACTTCTATTCTATCGATTGAGCACAAGAAATCGCCAACTCAACTGTTTCAACTACAAAATAAAGTGACCGGAAATTGGTAATTTGGCCAATTTAACACAGTTCAAAATATTCCAATTTCAAAATAGGGTCCAGAATAAACAATGCAGGCATTCCTGGTACTAAACTAACATTTCCTCTGTTCATTAATTACATTTCCAGGCTTTACAAAAGAATTCCATTTTGATTTTTTACTCACATAATGAATTTTTATTCAAACCAAAAAAATAGAAGATTTAATGTTATGTAATATTTTAATAATTGTATAAATAATATCAGCACATTTGTGAATGCATATTAGACCCACCAGCTGGCGTGTATTAGACGTGTGAGGTCATTTGTTTACTCTTGAACATTGGCAAAAAAATTAACATTTCCGCTACTTTGAGCTCAGTTTCAAGCCATTTCCAGTACTAAAACCAATCAAAATTGTCTCTATTTCTGTAATATATTTTCCATTCTATCAAATGAGACCAAGAAATCGCAAATACAACTATAAAAAACATACAAAAAAACACTGCCAAGTCACTGTTTTAATCGAAAATCATGGTCACAGTTTTTTTTCTCATTATGCACTGTGTGCTGCAGGATTTGTTTTATGTGGTGCACACATACCACATAGATGTATTTTCTCATATCTAGGCCCAAATTTACCGCTTATAAGAGTAAGCTAAGCTCGTGGCGTAGATCTATGGTTTGGACCCTCAACTCAAAGCCGTAGAGCTATGGCACGGGCCCTGAAAGGGTTAAAAACAACTTGTCTCCATTCACTCCTCTCAAATATGCTCACGCATGCTTGCTGGAAGTCTAAGCCCCTCACACACAAAACCTCCTTTACCCCCTCACTCCAACATTTCCTAGGCCGACCCCTACCCCGCCTTCCCTCCACTACAGATATATACATTCTCGAAGTCATTCTGCTTCATTCCATTCCCTCTACATGCCCGAACCACCTCAACAACCCCTTCTCAGCCCTCTGGATAACAGTTTTGGGAATCCCACACCTCCTAATTTCCAAACTACAAATTTTCTGCATTATATTCACACCACACACTGCCCTCAGACATGACATCTCCACTACCTCCAGCCTTCTCCTCACTGCAACATTCATCACCCGTGCTTCACACCCATATAAGAGTGTTGGTATAACTATACTCTCAAACATTCCCCTCTTTGCTTCCACAGACAATGTTCTTTGTCTCCACAGACTCCTAAGTGCACCACTCACCCTTTTCCCCTCATCAATTCTATGATTAACCTCATCCTTCATAGACCCATCTGCTGACACGTCCACTCCTAAATATCTGAATATATTTACCTCCTGCATACTCTCTCCCTCCAATCTGACATCCAATCTTTCATAACCTGTTCTTTTTGTTATCCTCATCACCTTCTTTCCTATATTCACTTTAAATTTTCTTCTTTTCATACCCTATCAAATTCATCCACCAACCTCTGAAACTTCTCTTCAGAATCTCCCAAAAGCAAAGTGTCATCAGCAAAGAGCCACTGTGACAACTCCCACTTCATGTTTGATTCTTCATCTTTTAACTCCACACCTCTTGCCAAGACCTTCACAGTCACTTCTCTTACAACCCCATCTATAAATATATTGAACAACCACAGTGACATCACACATCCTTGTCTAAGGCTTACTTTTGCTGGGAAATAATCTCCCTCTTTCCTACATACTCTAACCTGGGCCTCACTATCCTCGTAAAAACTCTTCACTGCTTTCAGCAACCTATCTCCTATACCGTACACCTGCAACATCTGCCACATTGCCCCGCTATCCACCCTGTCATATGCCTTTTCCAAATCTATAAATGCCACGAAAACCTCTTTACCTTTATCTAAATACTGTTCACCTATATGTTTCACTGTAAATACTTGGTCTACACATCCCCTACCTTTCCTAAAGCCTCCTTATTCATCAGCTATCCTACTCTCTGTCTTACTTTTAATTCTTTCAATAATAACTCTACCATACACTTTACCAGGTATACTCAACAGACTTATTCACCTATAATTTTTGCACTCTCTTTTGTCCCCTTTGCCTTTATACAAAGGAACTATGCATGCTCTCTGACAATCCCTAGGTACCTTACCCTCTTCCATATATCTACTAAATAATTGTATCAACCACTCCAAAACTATATCCCCACCTGCTTTTAACATTTCTATCTTTATCCCATCAATCCCAGCTGCCAATCCCCTTTTCATTCTGCCCACTGCCTCACGAACTTCTCCCACACTCACAACTGGCTCTTCCTCACTCCTACAAGATGTTATTCCTCCTTACCCTATACACAAAATCACAGCTTCCCTATCTTCATCAACATTTAACAATTCCTCAAAATATTCCCTCCATGTTCCCGATACCTCTAACTCTCCATTTAATAACTCTCCTCTTCTATTTTTAACTGTCAAATCCATTTGTTCCCAAGGCTTCCTCAACTTATTAATCTCACTCCAAAACTTTTTCTTAATTTCAACAATATTTGTTGATAACATCTCACCCACTCTCTCATCTGCTCTTTTTTACATTGTTTCACCACTCTCTTAACCTCTCTTTTTCTCTCCATATACTCCTCCCTCCTTGCATCACTACTACTTTGTAAAAACCTCTCGTATGCTAACATTTTCTCCCTTACTACTCTCTTTACATCATTCCACCAATCACTCTTCTTCACTCCCACACCCACTTTCCTGTAACCACAAACTTCTGCTGAACACTCTAACACTACATTCTTAACCCTTTCAGGGTTTTGGCCGTACTAATACAGCTTACGAGCAGGGGTTTTTGACGTACTAGTACGCATAAATTCTAGCGCCGTCAAATCTCACGGGAAAAGGCTGGTAGGCCTAGATGTGAGAGAATGGGTATGTGTGGTGGGTGTGTGCAGTAGGAAAAAAATCTGGGACCCAGTGGTGCATTGTGGGAACACCGTCTTTGTAAACAATGTCCACCATGCCTCGCGGTAAGAAGTTCCTCACTCCTCTGCAAATTGGGACACTTTTGCTCCCCAGTGACAGTTCTAATACTGATGGAAGTGCCAGTGAAGATGAGTTTCAAGGTTTTGGTGAGGTTTTGACCGGAACTAATGACCATAATATCGGTAATAGTGAGGAAAACCCAGACGACCCTCAGCCTTCCACCTCTGGTGCTGGGCCGTCTTGTTCACGCTCAGTTGTACCAGAATCAAAGAGAAAACTCCTATTTTCCCAAATCCCAGACTCAGATGTGAGCATTTGTGATGATAGTGATAGTGAATATGAACTACAAGCTCTTGAAACTAGTTCCAGTAGTGATAGTGAAGTGCAATATTCCCCAGTGAAGCGTCAGTATATACGACGATATATGCCCTCTGGTAGTGTGCCATATGCTATTCCAAGGGGAAGGAGTACATCTCGGAGTACATCCCATGGCTGTACAACAGGAACAGACAGTGAAAATGACGATGATAGTGTTGCAATTGGGATGGAAAATGTGCATGGTGGTGGTAGTGGTGGTGCCGGCCGTGAGGCACCAGCAGTGGGCCATGGTGCCACCCACGCCGCTGCCTCAGCTGATCTACAACAAAGGCCACCATCCCCTACCCACCCACCACACCAGCCTCCACAACTACAACCTCCACAACCACAACCTCCACAACCACAACCTCCACAACCACCTGTCATTGTCCAGTACCCACCAGCAGACCGCACCTGGGATTGGCAGGAAGCTATCAATTTTGTTCCAAATCCCCACCAGTTTGATGACAGCCAAAGTGGAATATGGCCATCCTGTACACTTGGGAACAATGCCAGTGAACTGGAATGTTTCAAGTTATTCTTTGACGAACCCCTGATGGAAAGTATTGTCATGGAAAGCAACACATACTACGAGTACACCATGGCAAACACAATACTTTCGCCAAAATCACGCCTACACCTGTGGAAGGAGACAACTGTGGCTGAGATGTATCTTTTCTTTGCCACAATAATGCTTATGCCACATGTGTATAAGCACAGTGTGAAATCATACTGGTCAACAGACCGCCTGATTGCAACCCCAGGTTTCAGTGATATAATGCCAGTGAATCGATTTGTGCTAATGTTATGTATGCTTCACTTCTCAGACAAAACCAGGCCTGACAGAAACGACAGGTTATATAAGATTAGGCATGTGTTTGTGTATCTGAAAGAGAAATTCAGTATGTAATTTTATCCCTTCAGGAAGCTTGTAATTGATGAGTCTTTGATTCTGTTCAAAGGAAG